TAGATTTAATTTTTCTTGTTTCGTGATGCAATACTAAGATTAGGTTGAAAAGTGTTATATGACCAGGGAAAGTCAGTCAATGATGCATTTGTGATAACTACTACATCAATTAACAAGGTCAAGAAATCATCTTTCTCAGTAGGCAATGTTACATGTTACAGAATTAGATTGGAAATATTCTTAGGTATGATTAAAGCTAAACACAACAGCAACAAACTATGAAGAATTTAACTACTATTTTGAGTCACTGATGGCGAAGAAGTGTAGACTATTTATCTGAGATCCACAGGGTTGCCTAGAATCAGTAATTGAGGATTGGTAGTCATATGGCTTAAGATAATTTCCTGTAGTACATATATCTTCATTCATTGTTCTTTTCTGACCCTTTTTCTTTTTACCAATCTTCATGCAAGTATTTCATTCTTTTGAATATTTTTTTTCATTTATCTGTTCCAATCTCTTTTCTACATTATGGCGACATGAACCGATTAAAATATACTTTTTTTGCGAAGTTCCCTGTGGATGATTTAGTGCAGTTCAACCCAGTTCTTGTGTATATATGTGGATGGGTGTTTATTTCCAACTTTTCCTGATTTTTATGACAAAATTGTTGATATTATTCCTTCGTGATGCTATTATTATTATTTTTTAGGTGGATCTACTTGTCCCTGGTGTCGGTGAAGTAGTCGGTGGTGCGATGCGTATAGAAAATGCTGATGAATTGATGATTGGTTACAAATCAGATGATGTGGATCCAGCGGCATTCTATTGGTATACAGATCAGGTGATTTTCATTTATTTATTTATGTATATGTGTACGTGTGTGCGTGCATGCGTCCCTGTGAAAGAGTGTATTGTAATTTGTATACGTCAGGAATACGATTTCTGTGGGGACTGACTGAGCTAATGTAATATAAGCTAAAGGAACAAACCTCCTTATAATACGTGGAGTTCATCAGTCTGGATTTACATGTAAGACATTTTCCATCATATATTCATGGGAAAAAAAGAAAATACCTCATTCAGATATATTGTATATTGTTACAGCTTATCTTAACCACGGGTTGGCATCCGCGCAATATATATCTCGGATTGATGCAAGACTTATGGATAAGACAGTAGGAAACGAGAAGACAGGGATATCCTGGACCGACGTCAAGATCTTAGAAGACCTGGATTTCGTGCGTGGATGATTTATGTTTGATGTCACACAAAATCGAAGACTTACAAGCGAAATCCGACAAACTGGTCAAAGAAGCAGCAAAGAAAGCACTCCAGAGGGACATAAACAACACGGAGGTTATGAAAATAACCTCAACGGGAGGGATTTGAAAGAGGTTACTTCATTCACTTCACTTATCTAGGGATCATTTTTTCAACTACAGACAGTCAGAACGGACGAGGATGTCAAATCGAGAATCGACAAGGCGAGAAACACATTCATCACCCTGAAACCACTCTGGAAATCTTCATCACTCAGCCAGGATCAAGAACAAAATTCGGTAGGATTTTCAATACAGACAACGTCAAGTCAATCAGTTCTTCTATATGGATCAGAAACTTGGCGGGTGGGTCACAAAGAATATTTCCAACAGCCTGTTGCAGACCTTTATCAACAACTGTCTTCGCTGTATACTAAAGATCAGATGGTCGGGCGGGAAAGAATCACCAACAAGGAACTATGGGAACAAACAAAACAAGAACCATACCATACAAAGGAGATGCAGTGTCACAAAAGATTGACAAAAGACTGAAAGGTGCAATAAATAGAAGCTTCCCAGCAGCAAAACTCATAACAGTATACAGCACCACTCCTTCTTTAATCCACTCAAAACTGGATAAATACCCTGCTGATGTCACCTCCAACTGCGTTTATGAATTCACGTGCACTTGCGGGAGCAAGTACATTGGAAGGACAGAAAGAAGGGCTTATATCCGGTTTTCTGAACATATTCCCAAAAACCTGTGCCTGAAAGGAAGCAGATATTCCCAGAGTGCAATTACCAGACACATTATTGATACCGGACATCTCGTAGAGATTTCTAAGTCCTTCAAAATATTAAATAGACAAAGGACAGCAAATTTACTACGATTTGCCGAAGCAATCGCAATCAAAAGACTTAAACCTCTCACTCCCTTGGTAACAGAATTTTGATTTTGATTAGTCATCTAATTCAGTGATCTCAACTCACTGAACAAATCTTAATCTCATAAACTGTAACCGTTTTTGTTTTTTTGTTTCCTGAGTTGCTATTTGAACCTAAAAGCTAACACTGTTCTGTTAATCAATTTTTTCTGTTTTCTCTCTTACCCCTCCCCCTCTTTTCAACTTTAAAAGCGTATAAATTGATGATGAAAACTTAAACTAAAAACATTGTAATGCTTTCATTTAGATGCGTCAATTTTATAGTATCTCTTTTCTACCACCACTCGAACATTAAAGTATGTTATAATCATCTATATAACCATTGTAATTTCAGGTAGTCTGCAGCTGATGAGAACCTGTGAAATAGAATGATATCATTTTATACTGCAAATTTCGTCTTCCTTCCTTTATCGAAAACAAGAACCAATTGCCAACCAACAAATATGCAGGAGAAAGTGGAGATGGACTGGACACTTTTTGAGGAGGCCGGTCAGTGACATCGCGCGTCAGGTCATCGCTGGAGTGGAACCCGAAGGGGAAGCGGCGAGTGGGACGTTAGTGTAAGGGTCACGTGGAGGAGATCGTGTGAAGAGGAGTTGAAAGAGTATGGACTTACATGGATGCAGGTGAAAAGTACAGCAGAAGGAAGGCAGAAGCAAGTGGAGACGTGCAGTTGAAGCTTTGTGTTCCACTAGGAATCCAAGGGAACAATAATAGTAGTAAGATTTATGAATCGTTGAAATTCCATCCCAGTGGTGACTGTTCAACTGGTTCGCCTTGTGACCTGATAGTCCTAGTCCCAATCCCTCATATTTGGATCATGGACGCATATTGATGAAGAGCCCTAAATAAGGACAAAACGACTATCTCTTACTTCATGATTTTCAATAGTTATCTAACTAAAGTTAGTTTGTGAGCAAATATTTTTTTTTAATCGTGGTTAGCAGCGGAATCCAAACTTGTCAGCTGGATACATATATCTACATTTTCGGTGAGTAATGGTTTTCTCCACAATGATACGAACCTAGAACCTATCACAATTCTATGAAGCCTTCAAGCATCGTTGAAGAGTTTGTACTAAGAGCCAGTAATATGACCAGTGACCAAGTGTTTTGGTCCAATATAAATCAATAATCAAGAGATACAAAAAGACGAATGAAATCACCATTCATTTTCTGGTGCCTTATTCAAATTTACATGTAAATATAAAGGGACAGTTTTTTGGTAAATTGGTTTAGCAGCAAAGGAAGCATTTCAAAAGATGTGTCATTAGAATTGTAAATTTCAGATAACAAATTGCATCATACAGAAAACGTTAATCGAGTAGAGACTAAATTTAAATAGGTAAGTTTGATGACTCAATATAACTGATGAGGTTGAGTAGAATTCAACTAGCAATTGACCGATAGTCAGGTTAACAACAATGGTGATAAGGTGTAAAGATTTAACAGGGAGTGGGGGAAGAAAATATCATACAATGAAGAAACAAAAAACCACGTATTCGGTGTTAAGATAGACTACGTCCTGTGGCCGATCACCTCCAAATGTCTAACTTATCCATTACTAACTCAACTGACTAGTAGTATTTAGAGTTGCAAGGTCCACAACATATCTCAGTTTAGTAATCTGGATGTTATCACCCTGAGTCCTGTTGTAATGCCTTGTAACGCCTTCTTCGATAACGGATGGTGTTAACTGACATAGAATTGATCAGGTTGGTAAACAGCTAGTGATGATGAAATATAACAGTTAGTTTAAGTCATGCAGGAAGGTGTATACTACCTGGTTGTGGTGAGAATCAGGATGGTGAGAACCAGTGATGACCGGAGGCTATTGGTAGTGAAATGGTTGAAAATAGTTCTAGGTGACTAGTGGAGATGCATTCGTTCACTCTTTGTGATTTGTCTTAGCCAATAAAACTCTCACGTTCTTCCATATTACTCTTCTAATTTCCCTCACTCATACTTCTCTGTTTATTATTTCTGTTTTTCTATATTTTGATTTGTAAGGGTTAGTTTTGTTTTTACGAGTTGATCACGCATTGATATCAGTTAGAGAACCACTGAACACCAGGAAGTACTGGACAGCTGCTGTTTCATCCTTGTTTGGAAATCATTGGCAGTAAGCATCCACCGCCACCGTTTAACCCCAAGACCTTCCGGTTACAAGGCAAGCTCGTAGACCATTCATCCACTGAGACCCGGTTCACTGGCTAGCTGATCAATCCTAAATTCTACCAACTCGTGATTTAGCGCGACCCCAACCATTGTCGTAGGTGGGACATCCATCCTCACACGTGACATGTGGATGGACCTCACTGGTCACGACTTCTCACTAGAACTAACTCCAGGAAACTCCATCCTGTAGCAAGTCACTAGCGAGAATCAGATTAATTTTCTATAGTTTGGTTTGTGAGGGTTAGTTTTATTTTTACGAGTTGATCACGGATTAATATCAGTTAGAGAATCATTAGAAGCCAGGATGGACCATTATATCGGGTCTCAGTGGCTGAATCGTATACGAGCTTGCCTTGAAACTGGGAGGTCCTGGATTCAAACCTCAGTGGGTGCGTACTGCCGATGATTCCCAAACTAGGAGGAAACCGCTGTCCAGTATTTACTGGTTTTCAATAGCTCTCGAGGTATTATCTGTCTCGCTTTTGAATCTCTGTTTACTTCCTTGTCTTGCTTTGTGTGCTACCAGGAGGCAGTGTGGCAACTCAAACTGCTGCACATCTGTGTAGCATGTTTATCTAATCAGTATTATTATTATTAGTATCGATAAACTACAAAAGCACACCAATTTTGTCTCTCATCTCTATTTTATATTTCTTTTTTTTACTTTTGCTTTATAGCGCAAATTTGGAACTTGTCCACATGGTGGTTATGGACTGGGCTTTGAACGATTTTGTACATGGCTTTTAGGCAAAGATCATATACGTGATGTTTGTCTCTTCCCTCGTTTCACCGGTCGATTTCGCCCGTAACTCTTACTCCCTGTGTGTGTGTGCGCACGCGCACAAGTGAATGTAATACTTACTGCTGTCTCCTTTCAATTGAATTACCAGAATTGTATGACATTCCTTTGCTTATTGACAGTTTTCCCATTTTCTGATGTCTTTTAGCCAACTGTTCTGCTTTTTGAAACTTTCATTATAATTAGCACACCTATATGTCCTGATCTAACTACACTGGCATTCACTAACAGCTGATGATTAGTGCACCAATTTAATCAATAGCCTTTATTACTATCTGTCTCTATTACAGACTGGAAGATATCATAACAGATAACCTCAGGATGAATACTATTCACGCTTTCATTTTGTAGAGATCTGTGTTTTCATTTTGTGATATTGAGATTTTCAGACTTTTCAGTTTTTAGTTATTTCTCCCTTAAGCTTCAACTAAAACGACATTTAATAGTATTATTGTTTTGATACACTAATAAAATCAGAAACTATGAATAATAATTTATAATTTTGTAATCCCATCAAACAATCAAAATTTACAATTAAAAAAAAAATAAAATTCTTATTATTTTTCTAATCAAATCAGTTTTTGTTTTTGTCCCATTGCCTGATTGATTGATTGATTGAATGAATGCAAAAATTTTCGGCTGTTCTGTTGACATGTCCGCAGTCTTACTATGGATACTTAGATATTCCGTTTGAGACGAATGGTACTTGGTTCGAGTCTTAGTGGAGACGTCATTCCTTACTGGCGATTGCAAGTGAGTCCAGTTGACGAGTTACAAATAGGTCGGAATGCGCATCCTAGACTTCAAGAATTGGTGCCATGTTTCCGTTTGCGCAACCTAATCCTATGTCAGTATATGTGTAAAACATAGGCATCTTAGTGTGGTAGTAAGTAATTCCATTTTAGTTTGTTTATTAGATGTTTTACACAATCAGTGAAACAGTCTTATTTACTGGATGATACAGTTTCGAAAACAATTTATTCTTCATAACCATTTCATCACTTATAATGAAGACAAATGAGTCTGTTTATAGATGAGTCTAAGTGGTTTAATTTAATGCCCAAAATTAATATAACCCCAGCAGAATGTATGGTATTGTTGAAGTTCAGAAGTCAGGAGAAAATGCTTAGTTTTGACATTGTTAGTTTATATACACGTATACCGATAATAAATATAGCTATAGAGGTAGTCAGAAACGAACTCAATTCTCACCAAGAACTTGAAAATAGAACTAAAGTGGCACTTGAAGACATAATGCTGGAAGTGCGTCAGTGCGTAACTTCCAAAGTGTTTAAATTCCTCCAAGGGAAAATGTACAAAAAAAACTGAGGGAGTTGTCATGAGGTCACCGATATCCCCGGTTGTAGCAGATATATGCATGGATAGGTTGGAAAACATGGCGATTGAAATGTTCACTCTCACCCCAAAAGTATGTAGATGACACATTCACTGTACTCAGAAAACAAGATATAGATAGATTTTTCGAACACATCAACTTGAAGGTAGAATCAATTCAATTCACTTACGAATTGGAAAGTTAGGAAAGGGAACTGACAATGTTAGATTGCAACGTAAAAGGTGAAGAAGATGGGAAGTTAAACACCAGTGTTTACAAGAAACCCACACATTCAAACAGATATTTGAACTTCCGATCATCTCATCCTATGCCACAGAAAATAGAATTAACGAAGTGTTTAAATGACAGAGCACAAAAACTTAGTAGTATTAAGGAAAATCTACGACACGAAGTGATATATATAAGAGTAGCATTGAAACGTAATAATTACCCTGATAAGTTAGTCAGGAAATTTGTAGGGAAATTTACAAATAAAATATATAATGACAGTAGTGATAGTGATAATAATAATGATGGTAACATTAATGACGATATACATGTCAAATTTGCGCAAGACAACATTAAAAATAAGTGATCTAAATCATCGGTAGTAATTCCATACAAGGAAGGAACCTCGGAAACCACCTTACGCAGAATTCTTGAGAAGGCGGAAATAAAATCATTTGGCATTCGAACCATCTACAAACTCATTTAGAAACAAGCTTTGTCGGTTAAAGCATCAATTCTGTGAAGCCTTCAAAACAAAACAATTTAGTTTATCTAATACCCTGCCTGCAACGATTGTCAGGTCAAATACATAGGTCAAAGTAGTAGAACAGGTGCAGTCAGTCAGACTAGCCGAGCTTAAAAACGTAGCGAAATCGAGATTGGTTGACCGGAGAATAGTTCAGCTATACCACTCACTGCAAGCAATTACACACAACCATACAATAGGATGGTGGGATAAGATGACACTTTGAAAATCTAATGTCACAGCTGGGTGGAGGGAGAGATTGAAAACAGAAGCTTTGTTTATCGAATCAACTGAGGGGAATACATGTAATGGGAATGATTCAACACCTGTCCACGTGGACTTCTGGCAAATTCCACTACCCTTGTGATGAAAAATAGGAGAGGACAAGGAAAACTATAAAACTCAAGTTTCGAAGTTGTGTGATTATAATTGATGATATGATTATGAACAGTAATAAATTTTGTTCGAAATTGTGTCATCCAGTAAATAATACTGTTTTATTGACTGTGTGATACATCTAATAAACAAACTATTATGGAATTACCAGTCCTATGTCAGCTGACATTGGTCGGCTAGGAAGATGATGACTAGGCCTGAGCAATACGCGTCCTAGCCGTCTGAATCGATTTACTAGTACAATCTCATTGAGTGAGACCTGTACGCTTTTTTACTTAACGTTTCAACCTTAGTATAACACAATGCACTAAGTAACGACAAAACTTGTTCATTGTGGTCTGAACGCAAGAGTCCAACCTTTGAGTGCAACAGTATAACCGACCAACACTTCCTTGAGACAGCCATATTCACAAAACGCTGCGAAGATGGGCGAAAAGGCTGTTGTTTGTCGTAAAATCTATGTCGTCCTATTCAACAAAAATAACATTGGTGACTCAAAATCACCTAAACAGCGCCGCTAGGCAGCCCCTATAGGCTAAATAATTTTCTAGTACAAAACAAATACTGTAGAACTGTGGTGAGAGCAGGTTACTAGCCAAATTGATAGACAATTATTTACGTCAATGTTTATGTCGCAAATATTGGTCGTGAGAAAATATGAACAGGACTGATTCGACAATCAACCACAGCAGACTTTGTGTAGGTGGATAGAATTAGCATATAGATGATCTGACAATCAAGAAACAGTCACAAATAGATGTAAGGTCAACTTTCTGTGAGAAACAACCAATCAGAAAACTGTGTTTGTTCGCTTGAATAATCTATATTAATGTACATGAAAATAAATATAAATACGTGTTGATTTCGTAAATAAATGATCTGTTTCCTGGTCCTTGTCTTCTGTTGTTACAGAGCACCCGATTAGTCAATCAAATTCAGCCGTAAAAAATATCTTAGGGTGGAGTAGAATATTCCCAACAAGGTGCGATCAGACCTCTATCAGCAGGAATCACACACCGACTGATTGACTGACTGGATTCAACGTAGAACTTTGCACCGATGTACAGCAGGTCGAGACGCCATATTCCATGTAGAATACAGAGCAAGTTTAGAAAGTAAAAAGAAATGCAAGATAGAGAGAGTAAACAGAGATATGAGGCCAGAGAATAGTAATACGGAGGAACAATATAGTTTTATTGGATATGTTGTCAATCACAGGGAGTAGATGCATCTGCACCAGCCATTGAGAATGAAGATTTTGAGCCATACGCCCAGCCATTGATTTTTACCGTCCCAGGGACCCCAAATGGGATGTCTACACTTTCCTTCGTGGCTTAAACTAACTTTTGTGCATTTCACTGACTGGTGAAGCCATGTTTTGGTCTGACCAACATTGCCAATTTTACAACCCGATCCATCCTATGTCAGTTAATATCGTCCTTCGAGGAAAGCGATGCTTTGGAGTGTGTAAACCATTGCCTAACCATCTCTCCTAATTGATGTAATTTCACAGCCTCGTCTATTGACTTCGCCTCCCACCTACCTAGCTCACCTGCTTATATCACCTGACACAGGTGATAAAACGCAAATATCTGTGATCAAACACAGCTAGCCCTTTTATATCTCCTGCTTTCAGTGGTTATGTCTCACAGCCATAAAGCAGGACAGAGTGAACTGTTGCCCAGTACAAACGTCCTTCGATCGATGGTTGAATACAATCTTTTGACACCAGTACAAGATTTCATCATCTGTCATGTTAATTGGTCAAAACTAAAAGAACACCGGTGCTCTCCAGACAAAAAGTAATCGACATTCTACTGTAAAGATTGATACGCATTGTACACAGAATGACCAGTAGGGTACAGCAGGTCGGGTGTGAGGACAAATACTCGCCCGAAGACATTGGTTGGGGTCGCGCTATCTTGTGAATTGACAGAAGTTAGAATTCATGGAATGGCCATTGGATCGGGTCCCAGTGGCTTAGTGGTCTTAGAGTTAGCTAGCTTTGTAACCAGAACGTCCTGCATTCGAACCCTCGCGATGGGTGAGTATTGCTGAAGGTTCCCAAACTAGGACTACCGAAACAGCTGTCCAGTACTCTCAGGTGGTTTTCCAATGGTTGTCTAACCAATTTCAGCTCATGATGAAATTCTGTATCATCTGTTAGCTGGAAATATCTGCACTCAAGTCGACCATGGTGTTCTGTCAACGGATACAATCGTAGGCGGATAGATTTAAATGCAGAACCGTTAAACACTACGTGACTGTTCCAAAACAGTCGTCATCAATAGTTATTCCATGAATAATAAGAATTTCTTGTTGTTAGCATCGAGTCACGGTGATGTTTCTGAACACCTAAATCTCATTGTCAGATAGCCATGATGCACCAAAAAACGCTAGCTCCCCTTAAATTGTCTTTCATTCAACGGCACTGTTTTGTGGTACACATATTCCACGGCATCAAAACAAAAAATAAACACACGGCTAAATTAAGTAGGTCTCGCGGAATTAATGATTTCGCCCTTCTAACTCAGAGTGCATTAGTCCAGCCATGCTAGCTAGATAAGTTCTTAGACCTTTTTCCGCAAATAACCTTATTCTGTTTAAATATATCGATAATCTGAGCATATTTCTAAATCAATGAACCTTTTAATTTGTGTTTGGAATCAGTACTTCCAGGTTAGGCAAAGTACTGCTTAAGTGGACAGTTGCACATATCGGTTTCAGTAAGACTGTTATAGTTAATTTATATGTTTTTCATAGACTTATCATCAACCCTTCATTTCTAATTGCTCTCAATGTCTAGCAACACTGAGCATTATGAGAACTATTACTGTGGTGGGAGCTGGCTGGTAGCTAAATTGGTATAAGTAATTTACGTCAATGTTTAAGTCCCCAATATTGGTCGTGAACAAAGACTGACTCAAAAACCAAGCACAAAAGACTTTTAGTAAGCGGATATAATCAGCATATAGATGATCTGACGTTCAAGAAACAGCCACAAAGAGATGAAAGATTAACGTTCAGTGAGAACAACCAATCAGAAGACT